GGAGGAGGAAGTTGCTTTTTTATTGAAAAAACTGAGGAGTCAGGAAGTACCCCTACCCCACTGTTAAACTAGGTTTTGCAAGTTTCAAAAATCAGGAAAGAATTTTGGAGCAAGATAGAGGCCTTACACTTAAATGCATTATAAACGTGGATCCAAATCAGGTGAAGGCCACAGCGTATGTCCTAAGAGTCTCCATTATTTTAGACTCTGAGAGGGTTTTGAAATTATGCAGAGGGCTCATGGTAAGGATTACATCTAAGGTGGCTTCTAAGCTTTTGTCCCCATCCTCATGAGGCCTACTTTCAGGGCTTTGGCAGTCTCCAGGTATAAACAGATCCAGTGGATGAGCATGATGCATGTACCCACAAGTTCCAACCCGGGGGTTATCAGCACACACCCCTTAAAAATCTATTTCTGGCATTTAAGGATGGTGGCCATCCGGAGCCTCCACACAACCCAAGTGCCATTTGAGAACAAGCAGCATCTGCCCTCCGGATCCAGCAGCAAGTGCAGCCAGCATGGTTAAATTTAGCACATGGAGGTTGTAAAAATAAACCCACTTGAGAACAAAGTTCACTCTTGGCAAAACACCTAATGGAAGCTGTTTTTAGCAAAGTTAGCCACTGTCTTTTAAAATCTTTTGTTAATTTCTTTTCTCTGCTTTCTTCCTCCCAAGAAGGTTGTATGGATTATAGAAGATGGTATGAGTAAAACGCTTAGCATGGTGTCTGGCGTATAGTAAGTGTTTGGATCCTGACTGAATCCAGACCTTGCTTGGCCTTGCTTGACTGGATGCAGCACTGTCTTATGAGGCTGGATCATTATGGTCGTTGGGATCTGTCAGGATCTTCCAGCTGTCAGGACTCTGATCTGGGCTGTCAGGCAGAGTTTTTTGTTTTTTGTTTTTTTGCGGTACACGGGCCTCTCACTGTTGTCGCCTCTCCCATTGTGGAGCACAGGCTCTGGACGCGCAAGCTCAGCGGCCATGGCTCCCGGGCCTAGCCACTCTGCGGCATGTGGGATCTTCCCGGACTGGGGCACGAACCCGCATCCCCTGCATCAGCAGGCGGACTCTCAACCACTGCGCCACCAGGGAAGCCCATGCATGCAGAGTGTTTTTGAGAGAGGCTTTGGGACTTGCCTCTCTTGGCAGTTTGCCTGAGTCAGCTTACCTTGAAGGTGCAATGCTCTGTCCATCTATTACACTGGCATTCAGGGCATGGGAAACATTTTGCAGAGAAGAAAAGATGTTCTCTTGATCCTGCCCCTGCCAAAGATTTTGTTTTTTCTTAGAAGTTATTAAATATTAACAGAACTTGTGAAAAGTAACATATTCATTGAGTTGACCTTTTGTTCATTGATGTGCAAAAGGATTCACTGGCAGTTTGGAGAGAAGTTTCTCCAAGCATGGTCATGGGGGTGTGGGACATAGTTCCTTGAAACACTGCCCTTGTGCAAGGTCATTGCTCTCAATCTCTGGAGCATTGAAAACTGGTTTCAATGAACTTTAAAAAGGCAACGTCATGTTTTTTTTTTTTGTTTTTTTTTTAAGAAGATGCTGGGGGTAGGATTTTATTAATTAATTAATTAATTTTTGCTGTGTTGGGTCTTCGTTTCTGTGCGAGGGCTTTCTCTAGTTGTGGCAAGCGGGGGCCGCTCTTCATCGCTGTGCACAGGCCTCTCACTGTCGCGGCCTTGTTGCAGAGCACAGGCTCCAGACGTGCAGGCTCAGTAGTTGTGGCTCACGGACCTAGTTGCTCCGCGGCATGTGGGATCTTCCCAGACCAGGGCTCGAACCTGTGTCCCCTGCATTGGCAGGCAGATTCTCAACCACTGTGCCACCAGGGAAGCTCTGCAACGTCATGTTTTGAGAAAAGCATTCATATATGTGCAGTTCTCTTTCATCAGCTTATTACAGTGGTTGTCAGTGTATAAAATAGTAAGAATCACTAGCCCTTAATGTTTTCTGGAATGAGATTTCAGGCAATGAGACATTTGGATAAGGTCAGTAACAAAAAACCTAAGGAAATCGTTTCAAGGAAAAGCAAAGCCATAGGATCTGCTCTATATACTGGTGTAACTGTGACTCAGAGGACCAAAGGGACAGCCTGATTTCACAGAGCCCTCTTGAACAGGTTTCCCACATGCCAAAGAAGCCAGACAAATGGAGTCAGTGCCTAGCTCTGGGCAGAACGAAGGAGCAGAGGGCTTTCATTTGGGTGCGGTGCATGATCTGCCATGAAGCCACATTACCTGCGAGGATGCCTGTGCAGGGGGCAAGCTCTGGCTGGCGCGCACTGCAGGCCCCATGCCACAGGGTGAGAGCACATTGTTCTAGAGCCTAGGAGACCCCCTGTTTGCCAAGCAACTGCTGGGCCAGGGCTCAACCTCTGAACCCCCATCGCAGAGGGTGGGTTTTCATGCATACCTCACCCTGGAGTCCTGCACTTAATCTGCACTTTGGGCCTTACTTGGTGTGAACAGAACCATTGTGAGCAGAAATGCCTGTATTTTGTGTTGATAGAGACTTATTCAGAAACCACTGCGCATTGTTCACTCTGGCTAGCTATTAAGTCCTGTTTCCAGGCAGTTTGCTGATTAATCAGACAGGTGCCTCTTGTTCCACCAAGAAAAACAAAATCTGTCAGCAAGATGACTAAGAATGGACAGACATATTTCAGAATGATTAAAATAGCATTTTCACAAGTGTGGTCCTTTAAACATTGAGTAGCTGCCTGCTATTTGAGGCTTTCAGAAGCCACGCAGGCCCTCGAAGCATGCCATCATGTTAATACACAACACGTCTCTGGAGTTGCTTTTCAGGTATTCCTTCCTACGAATGTCTCTGAAACTATACAAAAGAATAAAAAAGAGAGGCAGCCAAACCACTGTTGAGTCCGGGAGGACAGCAGAGATTATATTCTGGTTAAAAATAGAATGACTTTCTCCACCATGAAGAGAAAATGAAATACATTTCTTCAAGGAGACAGAGGTCACCGGATCCAGATGATTTCACTTTTAAAAGAGCCCAGCTGCCTTTGGCCTTTGAGTTAGGGGCCCCACATGTGGTGAGGGAATGAAGAACGCCGCCAGCAACCTGGCCTTCTATAGAAGCATGCCTGCCGGTGGAGGGCTCTGTGTCAGTCCGCATATATGAGTTATGATCCAGCAATGCAGAGGGAAGGATGAAGCAGCTGTCTTTGTTTCAGATGACAGGAACAGGCGATTGGACTCCATTCTCTCCCAACTGCCATCTGAATACCATTCGTAGGAAAGCCCTGAAACAGGGTCTCCTCTTACCACACGCGTGCAGGTTTCCTAAGTCTGGTGCCAAATGTTCTATTGATAAGAACTAAGTCCAGTGCTTTTGTAATAGAGCACAGATACTGTTGGACTCCAGGATCACAGGTGTCCCTTAATCCTCAGCACCTGGTGTAGTGTAGCTGCCTGATACGTGTTTCTTGAGTAAATGAGTGTTTCTTAAGTTTAATTGAAAGAAAAAGCATTAAAGTAAAAGGAGCTTTGCTTCCAGAAGTATTGAAGTGAAACAGAGGAGCTCAACTTTCTTGATGAATTGTTACCTCTTTTATCTTTCAGAGTCGGAGTTGACCAATTTGGCAGGATTATACAGAGATGAACGATTGAAACAGAAGGCAGAGTCGCTGAAACTTGAAAACTGTGAAAAACTTTCCAAACTGATTGGCCTACGCAGAGGTGGCTGAGAGGATGGTAGTCCTATGCAGGCTCGGGGTTTTGCTATGTGTTACTGTTTATGTTCCTAATTCCATTGTATAATACAAAATTAGGAAATGATGAACATTTTACAATTTGCTAACTTTGTTTGGTGGGCAGAGTTGGAGGTGCTTCAGCATGGAGCCAGACTTGTCATCACAAAATCCTTCCTGGGGATTGGCTCCGGGGGCCAGGAGCAGGTCATCTAAATTGAATTAATGGCAAAGCATTAGATTCAGCCCCCTGCTCTGCGCCTACCCTGCCTCTAGAAAGGTAGTTCAGGGCACCCCAGAGCAGACTCATATTTTCTTTCTTCTTCCCTTCAGTGAAGTCTCAATAGCCAATCATTCCTAGGCTTAGCCAAAGCAGCTTAATATTGGTTGCTTACAATGTGCACTGAGAATTATACCTCTCCCTTCATTAGAGTTATCGTCTCCCCACCAGATTCTGCTGTTGGAACAACTCAACTTTCCATTTTCTAAGGGAAATGTGGAGAAATGTAAACTGTTTTAGTCCACAGTTTTCTATTTGTCTAATCTCTGTTCAGAGTTACTAGCATTAGCAAACTGCCTAATTTGAGTTTCTTTTACTTCCTTAACCCTCTCTCTTGTAGAGAGCCCAGAAATTAAGTTGTTGAGTGAAACAGTTCAATGGACATGGAAGCAGGGGCCAGGGGTGAAGGTAAAATGCAAGACTAAGTCTCAACTGCTCAGTGCAGGTTCCCTAGTCCATCACAGAACCCAGAGAATGTTCTTTTTGACATTTCCCCTTGCAGCATCACACTTGAGCTGAGTCCCTACACCCCACAGAGGTATAGTGGTCAGACCTAAGAGGAGGCACTGCCAGCCAGCTGGGCTGTTTGCTCAAGCCTAGAGATAGAGGGGAAGACCCTCAGTCTGAGGCTATGGGGGTCTGGCGTTGGCCCCAGCAGTCACTTTGTTTAACCCAGTGCCCTGTAGTTTGTGATAGGAGATGCTTTTTCATGTAGTCAACATTTGTTGAGTGCCTGGTATGGAATGAGAACATTGGCCCAGAGAGGATGCATGGTTGAACTGGGTCACACAACTTGTTGTGACAGAGCTAGATGGTAGGCCAACTATCAAGTAGGAAGTGTGTGATCATCCCCATTGCTCAGGTAATTCTAGCCATATTGGTTAAAGCAGAATCTTTCCCAAGGATGCTCCTCCCCCCACCCTGGGATCCTGTATCCTTTCTATGGCAGTGCTACGTCCACTCAGGACACCTCTCTACACCACTTCTGTATACAAAACAAAAGCAGGCAGCTCTTCCCACTGGTGACAACGAGGAGGGAAGTTGTTGCCTGGACTGTGTGGTTCTGGGCCTTCCTGTGGAGGTGAGCTACCAGGATTGAGCTGCGCAGATTATATCATGAATCTGAACCTGGAAGGATCAGTAGGTAAATGTAGTCTACACTCCATGTTTTCTTCAGGATGGAAGAAAAGTTCCTGTTGGAAGGAGAGTCTACATTAAAACTTGTTTCCAAAGTAGAGTTCCTCCTTTCAGATGCATAGCCGTGATTTAGGCAGATGTATCTAGTATTGTCCCATGTGTGGGCATCCCACAGGGTCAGGAGATGAGTCCAGAGGTAAAGAGTGGGACTTTGGTGGCTGGTAGGGGCACCTGCTCAGCTGTAGGGAGGGAGAGCAGCTCCAGAGATAGTCAGGTTTTGTCACCCAATGAAGTCTATCCTCCTGGGTTTTGGGGGGCTTCCTTGATCCCCTCTGAGTGACTGAAGGGATTTACTTGGTAAAATGTGCCTATGAGCCAAATGAGCTATAACAACTTTCCTGTACACACAAAAATCAGAGCTCCCCTGTCCCCAACGCCAATCTCTGCTAGAAAATGGGCCATAATTAAACTGACTTGACAAGGTAAAAGACTCTGCTCTAGATGCCCATGAATATTGTAGTCACACCTGGATTTCATGGCAGAGATGAGTTATCTGTGATGATACTAGAGGCAATCACTAACTTCATTACATGTCAGGTCTGTTGTCTGTTTTTATAGCACTGATGGTACTGTTTTATTTATTACCTAATAGACTGCAACACTCACATCTGGTTTTCCTGAAGGGAATGGTACTTGCTTTGGGTTGAAGGATAGTTTAATCTATTTGGTACTGTCCAGAATATTGTTAAACTATAATTTCCTGGATTGCATTTTAGATGGGTTGTCTGCATGGTGGTAAAATAAGCATTTTCCTCTTGCCTACATCATTTGGAAAGTTTTTATCATATATAAACTCTCTAGGCATGGCGTATTCTTGCTCTCAGAACTTGGCATGCAACTCTAGACTATTTCTGTGAGCACAAATGCAGACTGGAGACGCGTGATGGGAGTGAGGCTAAGAAATAGGGCTTGAGGACTTCCCTGGTGGCGCAGTGGTTGGGAGTCCGCCTGCCGATGCGGGGGACACGGGTTCGTGCCCCGGTCCGGGAGGATCCCACATGCCGCGGAGCTGCTGGGCCTGTGAGCCATGGCCGCTGAGCCTGCGTTCCACAACGGGAGAGGCCACAGCAGTGAGAGGCCTGCGTACCGCAAAAAAAAAAAAAAAAAAAAAAGAAATAGGGCTTGAGGCTCGAGCAGAAAGCGAAGCTCTCGTAAGAATGGAAGTGCCCTCTGCACTAAATGATCAACAGTGAGGAAGGTGGGATGAAAACCCTTCTCATCACAAGGGGTACTGCAGTTTAAAGGAATCCGTGTCCCCAGATTAGCAACCCTGGGGTTCATCTGCTCAAACTAGAAGACTTCTGAACTTCCTTGATCAGCTCCAGGCCTCACAGCTTGGGAGAAGTGACCAGCAAGAAAATGCCATTGCTGTTCTTTCTGTTGGAAACTATTAGAAATTACGCCAAACTCCAAACCCCACCGGAGCATGGAATCCAGCAGCCTAGTCAAGCTATGTGTTACTCTCATTTACATCCTCACACTCAGGACTGGCTTTGTGAGGAGGCACTGTTGGGATTCCAGAGCTTTCTGTTACGAATAGCCACACACGCGGGTTCATTGTCTGCATGCACTGTTCCTCACAGGAGCTAGCGCTTAATTAGTATTTATTTTGGATTCCTTTAAGGTATAAGCTTAGTGTCCTAATATATTTATTTTTAGAAAGGACCAACTTATTATACATCTTATTTTTTGAGCCTGCATTGTTGATAACCTCGTGCAGTGACCACCAAGTAACTATATACCTGTGTGTTACATATTGATTACATCTTTTGCATCACATTCAGTATTTGGAATTAAATATGTGAATGTTCTGTGACCAGAGCCAGGTTTGACACAGATGGAATCAGCTCCTGGTGGAGTAAGAATCCTGAAAAATCTGGTCACCTGATCCATTGCATCTGGATTAAGTGTATTTTAACAGAAATAAATTAAATGGTTTCATATAAAAAGAATGGCTTTATATTTTTCCTTTGTTCTTTTACCTTTGCCCATGGCACCCGTAGGTACTGCATATTGCCTGACCCCCTTGGAGCCACTTAGGACTAGACAGGCTGTTGACCTCTGCTCCAGTGTTCCCTCATACATCAATGGAATTATTGGTGTTTAGCATAATAGATAGCATTGGTGGCATCACCAGTTCAATATTTGTTTTCCATCAGATGTCAGCAGCTGCAACATATTACAGCCAATGTACACATCAAATCTACTTAGCATCTGAACATCAGGTGTTATCCCAGTTCCTTGCTGGCTTTGTTCCTAACGGTCCTCAGTTAGGGTAGTCTTGGTTTAGGAATACAGGACATTGTTAATGTAATAATAATACCTTTCATGTGAAGAAATATTAAGGTGATATTCAATTCAGCAAAGATGGAGAACTTACTATGTACCAGGTGGGCTGAACTTTTGGGATGGGGGTCAGGAAACAAGTGAGACCCAGTACCATGGCTCCTGGAGTTCACATCTAATGGGGGAGCCAATTAGACAATGCTCCCCAGTGGGATGAATGTCAAAGGGGAGACCAAAGGAAGCTTGGGAATCTGTAACAATGGGACTTAATCCAGGATGGAGGATCAGTGAAAGCAATTCTGAGGAAAAGAGATTGGAAATGTAATCATCCTTCCGAGTGCAGTGATTTTTTTTTTTTAATGGGGATAGAAGCAATACTATTGGAATGCTCCCATTTCCACAAATAGCACCACCATCCATCCAAATATGAAGTCAGAAACCCAGGAGACTTTGTGTGGTAGACTTAATTTGGTGTCCTCCAGTGGACCACACCTAATATTCATGACCTTGTGTAGTCCCCTTTCTGACCCGGGCTGGCCTTGATCTTTAATCAATACAATGTGGCAAAACCAGCAGCTTGCATTTTTGCACTTAGGGGAAACCAGCTTCCATTTAAGTCCCACCACCCTGAGACCACCAAGCTAACCACATGGAGAAGCCATGCAGAGGAGAACCAAACAACTGAGCTGGCAGCAAGAACTGAACCCAGACAGAATGTGAGCCAAACTGGTTGCCACCCATGCTGATGATCACAGCAGAAATTAGCTGCCCTGCCAAGCCTGGTTCAAATTGCAGAACCATGAGCAAATAATACACTGACTAATGTTTGTTTCTTTTTTTTTTTTTGGCCACGCCGAGCGGTATGTGGGATCTTAGTTCCCCGACCAGGGATTGAACCCGCGCCCCCTGCATTGGAAGCGCAGAGTCTTAACCACTGGACCACCAGGGAAGTCCCCTGGCTACTGTTTTAAGCCATTACATTTTGTGGTAGTCTGCAGCAGTAGATAACCAAACACCTCGACTCCCTTTTTCCCATATCCCCTCCATCATTAAGTCCTATAAATTCTACCTCCAGAACATCCTAAATACATCTTCTCTCTTCATCTCCTCTGATACCATCTGACTCCCAAATACCATCCACTTTCTCTGACAGAAACCACTGCAGTAGCTGCCTAAGTAGTCTCTGTGCATTTACTTAGGGCCATCTCCAATCTGTACACCTTGCTGCAACCAGAGAGATCTTTTCAAAACATAAATTAGAGCATATCACCCTCTTGTTTAAAATACTTCAGTAACTTTCTTTTGCCCCTGTAATAAAAATCAGCAAAGTCTTCAGTATGGCCTAATACTTAACAAGGCTCTACCAAGTTTCTGGCCGCTACCCCTGCTTGTCCTGTACATCTTTTTCTTTTCTGCCATATTAGCCTTTTAGTTACTACACTATGCCAACCCTTTTGCCCGAGGGACTTTGTATATACTGTTCACTCTTTCTGGAAGCCTTTCCCATTCACTTGCCCCTGCATCCTTTGCAAAGTGCCTCCTGGTTACCTTAATAGGTTTCATTCAGCTCAAACATCTCTTCCTCACACATGACACCCCAGGCTGGGCTAAATCTCCTTTTAAATTATTCTCATTCCTCTCTTTCTTGTACCTCTCATAGCTATAATGCTATTTACTTGAATAGTGACTTAAACTGGGATTTATTTGGGTGTTTATTTGATTATTATCTGTCTCCCCCATTAGACTAAGTTCCAGTCTGGTATTATCTGAACTGAACCTTGAAGGAAATGACATGTCACCTGTCAGGACTTCCCCTGGAAGTACAGCTCAAATTCTTTGAAACTACTCCTATCAAAAGGTAGGATGGGGCTTCCCTGGTGGCGCAGTGGTTGGGAGTCCGCCTGCTGGTGCAGGGGACGCGGGTTCGTGCCCCGGTCCGGGAGGATCCCGCGTGCCGTGGAGCGGCTGGGTCCATGGGCCATGGCCGCTGGGCCTGCAGGTCCAGAGCCTGTGGTCCGCGGTGGGAGAGGCCACGGAGGTGAGCGGCTCATGTGCTGCAAAGAAGAAAAAAAAAGGTAGGACGTGTCCCCACTACTTGAATACGGACTCTGTGGTTCCTTGACGAATAGGGTTGGGCAGAAATGACACTATGCCAGTTTTTAGGCCCAGGCCTTAAGAAAACTGGCATCTCTCATTTCGTCACTTTGTGTTTTGTTTTTGTTTTTGTTTTTGGAACCCGGGCCCCCGGCAGTGGAAGCACAGAGTCCTAACCACTGGACCACTAGGGTATTCCCTCTGTTTTGTCACTTTGGATGCTTTCTTTTAAACCCCACCACCATGCTATGAGAAAGCCCAAGTGGCGCATGGTGAGGAACCAAGAACCTTGGTCTTGAGTCTCAGATGAGCTCCCAGCTGACAGCACCAACTTGCCAGTTATGCGAGTGAGCCGTCCTGGAAGTGGAACTTCTCATACCTTCACACCCCACCCCACTAATCATCCCAGGCATAGAGCAGAAATAAGCTTTCACTATTGAACCCTGCCCAAAGTGAAGATTCCTGAGCAAAGTGATTTTCTTAAGCTGCAAATTTTGGGTGATTTGTTAATACAGAAGTAGATAACCAGAACATCAACCAGTATGACAAGCCTGTGCAGAAAGGCAGCACTTCCCAGGGCAGGATCACAAAGCTATCTGTGATGTCATGTTATTCTGAGCTTTGCTGAGCCCCAGCTGGCTAAGAACCTGTAGTTTTTGTTGACATAGAGTGGGAGTCCGTGGCAATCCCCAACCAGGGTGACCGTCCCTCATGTCCATGCTAGTATGCAGGATGTGGACCTGGATCCAGGGTTCTCTCTTTGCTCATAACTTCCCATCCTCAGGAACTGGCTGCTGGAGCCTTTTAGGGTTTTGCCCTAAATGTGGAGGGCAGCTGGTGGAGGTGAATGTTGAGTGGCAAGGGAACATCAAGCAGCACCTCCTAAAAGACCCTAGAGAGGGGACAGAGTCCATGGGGAGATTCAGTGATTGCTGCCCCAGAGCAATGTGCAGCTTTGTCCAGGGTAATCCAAAGGAGCATTCACATTTGAAAGACAAAGTTCCTAGAGGTCTCTGTCCTGAGGCACATAAACCACAGAGCACCCTATAGTCCCATGATATCCAATACAGTAGCCACTAGCCAAATATGACTATTTAAATTTATTTATTTATTATTTATTTATTTACTTTTGACTGCATTTGGTCTGTATTGGTGTGCCTGGGCTTTCTCTAGTTGCAGTGAGCGGGGGCTACTCTTCCTTGCGGAGCATGGGCTCTAGGCACACAGGCTTCAGTAGTTGCAGCACGTGAGCCATTGTGGCTCACGGGCTCTAGAGCCCAGGCTCAGTAGTTGTGGTGCACGGGCTTAGTTGCTCCGTGCATGTGGGATCTTCCCGGACCAGTGTTCGAACCCGTGTCCCCTGCATTGGCAGGTGGATTCTTAACCTTTGCGCCACCAGGGAAGTCCCTAGCTATTTAAATTTAAATTTTAATTGGAATTTTAAAAAATTTAAAAAGCAATTCCTCAGTCACCTGAGCTACATTTCAAGTACTGCTGAGCCACGTGAGGTTACTGGCTGCTGGTACTGGACGGTGCAGAACATTTCTATCAGAGAAATTCTGTTGGACTCTACAGCTCTAGGCCCTTAAAAACTGATCAACAGAGGTGGCCTTGCCCTCAAAGACATGAGAACAGACACAATGAAAAAGGAAAGATAAAACAAGGGCTACCACTGGGAGAGCCACAGGAATGGCCATGTTTGTCAGGTCACAACATCCAGCCAAAGAGAGGCACCTAAGCAGCTAAGGAGAGCAGCCTAAGTGGCTTACCTGAAATTTCAACTTCCCTTTGTGGTCATCGACAACATTTTTTCCAAACTCCTTCTTAATATAGTCATTTCCTACTTGGGGGTTTCAAATTCCATAACTTCAGAATCCATTATGTTCAACCAAAATGCATCACAGCATCCTGGTTAAGAACATGGACTCTGGAATCAGACTGCCTCTGTCAAAACCCTGTTCCAAGGCTCACTAGCTTGGGTGACCTTGGCTTATTGGGTTATTCATTCTCATAGAACCTGCATTTTTCTCATCTGTAAAATGTGGACATTAGAACCTACTTCACAAGGTTATTGTGAGGTTCACATGAAATAACACTAATAAGGCATAATGGTGTCATGAAATAGTGAATACTCAATAAATATTAGCTCTGGTAATAGCTAATATCTAATAGCCTGAGCGTAATCTTATTTGGGTTTCAAAACAAGCCCTCAGGGCTTCCCTGGTGGCGCAGTGGTTGAGAGTCCGCCTGCCGATGCAGGGGATGCGGGTTCGGGTCCTGGTCCAGGAGGATCCCACATGCCGCGGAGCGGCTGGGCCCGTGGGCTATGGCCGCTGAGCCTGCGCGTCCGGAGCCTGTGCTCCGCAACGGGAGAAGCCACGGCAGTGAGAGGCCAGCGTACCGGAAAAAAAAAAAAGCCCTCAGTGAGGATTGGTGGGGATGTGTGATCACCTTATCCTTCCCTGCCTCCATTTTACAAGTCTCCTTCATGCCTGACTTCAGTTCTAATATCTTCAGGCTCTTCAGACTGCCCAGAGCCTGGTACCAGAATGTGAGGACTCTTATCTTGGGTGAAGCCACTCTCCTTTTCTATTCTTGGGCTTCCCTTCATTGCTTAGGCTCAGGCCCCCTAAGTACTAAGTGTGTTCCTAGGAGGAATAAAGATCACAGGAGGCTGGAGTCTCATACTATGGGGGAAATTTAGAGATTAGAGTGGAATAATGAGACATGTGAAGCTAAATATGCAGGGGTTGTCTCAGCTGACCCTTGCTTCAGGGTCTTGCAGTTTAATGGGCCCTGGGAGAAGGGTGAGGGCTGGTGTCTGAGTGCTGCCTGCCTCTCAGCCCTTACAGTAAGTATAAGCCGGGCCCTGCCCGCTCCTCAGGACTGCGTGAGAAACATATCATATAATAGATGTGCAAATTCCCTATAAACTTAAATTACTAACGGTGTTGGAGGTACTCTTCCCCAGGCGGCTCCTCTAAGAGAGCAGCTCCTTTAAGAGGCGGGCCCCATCCCTGCTAACAAAGGAAGTCCCCGCCCCTGGTTGCCAGGGTGCTTTGTGGCGTCTCATTTTCATTGGTGGGCGTCAGCGGGGAGGCAAGCCGCAGCAGCCATTTCCAACGAGCTGGCGGGGGCGAAAGATGGCGACGCCCGTCGGGTGGTCGCAGGGGGGTTCAGGATCAGTGTGTCTCGCCTTCGATCAACTGCGGGACGTGATTGAGGCTCAGGAGGAACTGATCCACCAGCTGAGGAACGTGGTACGCAACCAGAAGAGCTGGGGGATGCCGGACTGGACGCCTAAGTGGTGGGGGCGGGCCCAGACGCTGTCCCGATGCCAGGGGCGGGCCGAGAGCACATTGCCAATGGCGTCATCACGAGGAGGCGGGGCCCAGATGTGTTTCGGCTGGTAGAGGTGGAGCCAAAAGGGGGCAGTGTCTCGTGAATATTTATCGGGGAATTTTAGTCAACGCCAAGTTGTTTCCTACTCTCTTTGACTGGTTGTTCAGGGCCTGATAGATATGCCCACCTATTCACTGAGCTTTAGTTTCCCCATTTTTTTTTTTTGGCCTCGCCACATGGCTTGTGGGATCTTAGTTCCCTGACCAGGGATCCAACCCCGGCCTCTCGCAGTGAAAGCTGGAGTCCTAACCACTGGACCGCCAGGGAATTCCCAATTTCCTCATTTCTAATTGAAGAGGACTTCACTGACTTGCCAAGGCCCTTGGGTGCAGAGTAACTATAACATCCTTCCTATTATGGAATCCCCTCCCCATGATGAGTGCAGTAAGCACAGAATTGGCTCTTCACATGTTGACTTAAAGGCTTCCAACCCCTTTATGTCCCTTTGCTTTTGCTTTTTTGGTCAAACCCCCGTTCATGGGTGCAAAGCATTGGAGCCACAGATTACATGGACAGGCATGGTAAAATGCTGGCCAACTGGAGTTCATGGTTTTTCTGTTTTGTTTTTTATCTGGGTAAGAAGGTGGGGACACATAAAACTGACTTCACATCTATTTATTTAACGGTAGTATGCAGCTCTGGACACTGAATTACCTGCATACCTTTAGGTACCCAGGTCTTTCTGTTGGCAGCTGGTCTTTGCATGTGTGTTCTCACCATCTGGAACACTTTTCTTTTCCATCCTCTTCTTCTGGCCCACCCCTATTTAGCAGTCAGATATCAGGTTGACATCCCCTTCCCTTGAAGCTGTTCTGACCCTTCCCCAGGCCGGGTCAGGGGCTTCCTCTGGGAACCTCCATCGTAGCACACACCATGTTAGAAATGGTGGCCATGGGCTGTCTTCTCCATGAGACTTCTTGCTACTTAAGGGCAGGACATAGAGCTGAGCATCAGTGAATCTTGTGGAATGAACTCTCCCTTTCCTGGGCCCCAGTGTCATCCTAGGTGCCCTGGGCATCCCATTATCTATCCTCAGTCCTGGTCCCTAGAGAAACCCCTACTGCCCCAGCCCCTCCCTGAGCCAGCCTCTGTTGCAGATGGTTCTCCAGGATGAAAATTTTGTCAGTAAAGAAGAGTTCCAGGCAGTGGAGAAAAAGCTGGTGGTAAGTGATGGCCTCTGTCAGCTTCTAAGCTTCCCCCATTTCCCAGGATCCCTGTGATTGGGTAGAGTCATTGAGTATTAGCCTCTGAGAGCCTCCAGCCCCAATAGTAAGGACAGAATCTTCCTGTACCCTGGCTTCTATGTGTCCTTCTGAGAAAGGGGGCTGGTTAAGGGAGGCTAGGAGACCCAACGTGGCTTGGGATAATGAGGTCACTGCTGCTGCCCCTGCAGGAAGAGAAAGCTGCCCATGCCAAGACCAAGGTTCTCCTGACCAAGGAAGAGGAGAAGTTGCAGTTTGCCCTCGGAGAGGTAGAGGTGCTGTCTAAACAGCTGGAGAAAGAGAAGCTGGCCTTTGAAAAGGCGTGAGTGGGCCTTGGTAGTGGGGGAACGGTTGGGGGTCCCATCTGCCCATCAGCCTTCCCACCCTTTCTTATCTTCTCCACTCAGGCTCTCCAGTGTCAAGAGCAGAGCCCTGCAGGAGTCCAGCAAGAAGGACCAGCTAATCACCAAGTGCAATGGTAGGCGGGAGGCCCACGCTCCCTCCCATGCCTACATACGTGGGCTCTTCCCTAACAGCCCAGTGCCTGTGTTCAGAGCAGGGTTTCACCCCAACTTCTGCCCCTGGCTGAGGATAAAGGCAAGCCCAGGTGGGCCACACCTTCGCAAAGGCCTTCAGGGACCAGGCAGGCCACGGAAATAAGGGAAGTATTTGGTGTACAGTATTCTTCATGGCCATAAAGGAATGGGCTCGTTCCCATTTTTCTTGAAACATATGACCTTCTTAGTCCACCTTTTTGTTTTCCCACTTTTGGTGACTATTAGAAATAGTGTGCTTGACTTATAACTCTGTTATCAGAGGAACAACGGGGCAATCACAGTGCTGTGTGGAATCTGACCCTTAGTTTCAGTGTTGGGGACCCAATAGGAGGAGTGGGGACTGTGGTAATGTGGAGAACCATGCCCCCTCTCAAGGGCCTAGAACCTCTGCCGTGGGAATAGGGGCCCAGTACTGTCAGATCTTTAAAAAAGAAACTGGAAACCACATTTTTTTTTTTTTTTTTTTTTTTTTTTTTTGGGGAGGGGGGCCCCGTTTATTGCAGGACCAAGCAAGGAGAACAGGTGGCTTGTGCTCAAAAACCCCCAACTCAAATAATGTTTATTTTTAAGGTTTAATTTTTTAGAGCAGTTTTAGGTTCTACGGGGGCCTCTCACTGTTGTGGCCTCTCCCGCTGCGGAGCACAGGCTCTGGACGCGCAGGCTCAGCAGCCATGGCTCACGGGCCCAGCTGCTCCGCGGCACGCGGGGTCCTCCTGGGCCGGGGCATGAACCCGTGTCCCCTGCACCGGCAGGCGGACTCTCAACCACTGCGCCACCAGGGAAGCCCCCTTGGAAACCACATTTTAATGGAAGCTTTTCTGACTTTTTAGGGTTGGCAACTGATTTCGAAATTTTTAAAGTATTGTATGGGCCAAGGAAAATATGTCTGTGGGCCATTAGGTTTCAACTCTGATCTATGCAGATGCCTGTGGCCACTTGTTGACTCAGTTGGTGCTCTGAGTTGTGGGGCACTTTCAGTGAGCTACCCAGTGTCCTGAGACCTTAGGGCCCCCTTTCATTTTCCCAGAATGCTAAACTCCCCTTACCTAGTTTAAGAAGTAGATGTGAATTCCATATACAACATTTCCTTCATTCACTGCAGCATTCATTTTGAGTAGGCCAGAATTCAAGCCCAAAAGAGGTTCAGTGTCTCTCCTGATGGGCCCCCACCTGGAGCCTTGGGCAACCCCTACCCACCAATGCAGCCTTCTCTCCCCTAGTGAGTACTGTCACTGGAAAGATGCCAGCAGGCTGCCATCTTGATCTGGCCAAGTGGACTAACAAGCCTCATGGTTGTTTGATCAAGAGCTCCTGGTAGGGCTTCCCTGGTGGTGCAGTGGTTAAGAATCCGCCTGCCAATGCAGGGGACACGGGTTCGAGTCCTGGCCCAGGAAGATCCCACATGCCGCAGAGCAACTAAGCCTGTGCACCACAACTACTGAGCCTGCACTCTAGAGCCCGCAAGCCACAACTACTGAGCCTGCGTGCCTAGAGCCCGTGCTTCGCAACGAGAAGCCACCGCAATGAGAAGCCCGCGCACCACAACAAAGAGTAGCCCCCACTCACCGCAACTAGAGAAAAGCCCGCGCGCAGCGACGAACACCCAATGCAGCCAAAAATAAAATAAATTAAATAAATAAATTTTAAAAAAGAGCTCCTGTTAGGACCTCCTGGAGCCCAACAGGCAGTCAGTGCCTCCATACCCAAGGATGTTGGTCTCCTAGTCCTTCCCCTTTCCCTGGACATCCCCCCACTTCCCTAAAAGGAACCTAGGGTTCTCTCCTGGTGCTGCTAGAGGCCCTTCCTCTAGGACATTTCCTAGAGATCAGCCAGGGCCTCAGGGCTCTGCATCTGCTTGTGGAAGGTGTGTGAGTCACGGGGAGGAGCCTGGCTGCCTCCCCCAAGAATGTCCTGAACTCCTCCAGTAGGGCATAAGCCCTGACATGGGGAGATCTGGTGACCTGAGCTACCCCCTGGCCTGTCTCCCATCCCCCCTACCTCCCTTTGCATGGTTCCAGTTTTACACTTACATAGTTCCTTATTCTCAAAAGGCTTTTCTAACCATTCTCTCATTGGGTGCTGTTTATTCTAAATTTAGCTCTCATTTATTTTAAAAGAGTCAAACACATTTATGATACTTTTTTTTGGTGCTATATGCGGGCCTTTCACTGCTGTGGCCCCTCTCATCGCAGAGCACAGGCTCCAGACGCGCAGGCCCAGCAGCCACGGCTCACGGGCCCAGCCGCTCCGCGGCATGCGGGACCCTCCCAGACCAGGGCACGAACCCGTGTCCCCTGCACCGGCAGGCGGACTCCCAACCACTGTGCCACCAGGGAAGCCCTATGTTACTTTTTTCCCATAAGAACTCCACAAGCAATCAGTTTGGATTCACTGGATGACCTGGGGAAGGAGGTTCAATAGTCCTGGTCCTGTGACCCAGTGAGCCCATGTTTTCATTCTTTTCCTTCACCCATGTCTCTCTGTAACGTGTGCCTTAACTTTTTATCAGATCTTCTCTTTTGAAACCTTCACTGCTTCAGTATATCTGCATTTTCAGAGCTTATGTTCTAGTTAATCTTTGTCCAGCCTTTAAAAGCAGTAGGATTTTCTTCCTTTGAGGATCAGAATTTTCCAGGACACCCTGAGGGACATTATGTAAATGAAGCAACCCCAGATCCCTACAGCCTCACTGGATTTTAACCCAAGACACAAAACTTACGCTTGCTTCTAATGAGCACTTAATCTGGGGGTAAGCTCTGCTACCACTATCTCCCTGGGTCCTCCCCACCCGCTCTGTGGAATAGGGATCCTGTCTTCCCCCCTGAAGCCCTAACACAGGGCTGGGCATCCAGCTGGTCCTCAGTAGGTCTGGTTGGATTGAAATGACTGAACTAGGTGATGTTTCTAAGACCTAAAGGCCCAGGGGACATCCTGTTCATTCCACAAATAAAAGTATTGTACATCTAGTACGTGCCAGGTACTATTTTAGGCCTTAGGGTTAAAGCCGTGAATAAAACAAAAAATCCTTGTCCTTGTGGACCTTATATCCTAGTAGAGGAAAAGACAAATGAGCAAAATGTATGGTCTGTGAGATATAAGTGTTGAGAAGGAAAATAAAGCAGGAAAAGGGGATAGGAAGTATTGGCAAGGTTTGTGATTTTAGACTAGGAAGGGTCTCGCCAAGGAGGTGATATCTGTAAAGAGCTGCAGGAGTTGAGGGCAGGAGCCATTCATCCTCCTGCTTTTGGGCAGGGCTGACCATCTCTCTCCAAGGGCCCTTGCCTGCCCTCATGTGAGCTACCTGGTCCAGAATAGAGCTGTAAAGTCACTGACACGTTCATCAAGATGTTGTGCCCTCCACTCCCACCCCATCATGACTCCATAATAAACTCATTCTTACGAAGGTGTTAGCAACTACTGTTTGACAACCCCTGGGTTGGGGGAGCCAAGTTCTGAAAAGACCCCTGAGGGAATGCCTTATTTCAGGAAGGAGCTCATGGGATGGGAACCACTCCTCCTCCCTGCCTCTCTCCCCCACAGAAATTGAGTCTCACGTTATAAAGCAAGAAGATATACTTAATGGCAAAGAGAATGAGATTAAGGAGTTGCAGCAAGTTATCAGCCAGCAGAAAAAGATCTTCAGGTGAGGGGTCCGGGCCAGGCTGGGGGTTGTTGATGGAAGTGGGGAGCCAGACCTCTGGTCCCTACCCTTGGGCTGTCCCCAGCCCATGCCCAGCCGGCTCCGTTGCAGGAATCACATGTCTGACTTTCGGATCCAGAAGCAGCAGGAGAACTACATGGCCCAGGTGCTGGACCAGAAGCATAAGAAAGCCTCGGGGATGCGTCAGACGTGGAGCTGCCAGTGTTCCAGGGAAAAATAAAATGGGCGTCTCCTTCCTGTTATCTGGCTGTAATGCCCAACCTCTGCCTTCTCTGCTGTGGTGGTCCCCATCCTGACCCTTCCAATCCCTGTGGGTACCTCCCTCAGGCCTCACAGTGGCCTGGACCCCAGGGAAGAGGTAGAGCAAAAGGCAAAAGACACTCCTTCCTTCTTCCCTGCCTGCCTTTTGGACCACCACCTGCCAGGCCACTGCTGTGTTCAGAATGGATGCTCCTCAAGTCTCCAGCCCCTGCTACTCCCCTCCCTCCCTCCTTTGGGTAGTAGTGGGGGCCCATGGGGGTATGGGGTTGTAGCCTAGGGAAGGACTACTTGGTTGTCTAATAGGCAGTGTCCCTTCTTACTCTTGGTATTAAATTCCTTCCTATATAAACAACCCTGGTTACCCCAGTGCCCTGGTAAATTTAACTCTCCCAACTTGAAGGGCTATCTGTGTATGTGTTGTGTATGTGTCTGTGAGAAGCCCCAACTGGAGAGTTCAAAGATGGTGGGTTCCAGGACCACAGTGAATTTGGGAAATCAGTTTCCATCACATAACAATAACGCTGTACCTGTGAATCACATTTGTACCTTCTTACACTTCTCCCAAACAGAAGCTTATTAGTCTGCACAAATGGAGGAAGGGGAAAGGACAATGCTGTGTGTGTGTGTGTGTGTGTGTGTGTGTGTGTGTTCTGCTATGTCTATTTTTAAGGTGGGGTAACTGTGAAGGGGCTATGACATGCTCAAGTTGCATACGCAGGGCTGGATGTGATGGACAGGTTGGATCCTCTCAGAAGCCATCACTAATGTGCCGTAGGTGATAAAGGGGACACACCAGGCAGGGGTCCCACTCAAGGGAGGCTGAGTCAGATTTGTCAAGTCTAGCCTTTCCTGGCTCAGTGTGAGAATGAATGCATAGGAGGGGCCAGTGCTCTTGCTCCAGGGCCAGCTGGGGCCTGAGTCATAGCAGGACCTTGAAGCCAGAAGTTTAAGGGCAAGTGGTGCCCATTGTCATTGTCCCAGGAGAGTGACAGGTGGTGGCTGCTTCCCCATCAGCACTTGTCCCCAGGGCAAGTCCTAAGGTGGCAGGGGCTGGAATGAGGGCCTTGTGAGTGTATGGGTGAGCACAGAGCTATTCTTGCCTCAGAGGGGCTTTAGAGAAGGGACCACAGCTACCCCAGAGGTTCCTAAGAGATGCCACATCAGCATCTGGGACTTGTTCTGGAAGCCTGAAAAGCTAGAACTGTCCCCTCCAGCCTAGGTTTCCACTAAGGGCAGTGGGTCCAGCCAGGGACAGCTGTTTTTTGAGGCCCCAGTACAACTTTTGGAGTTGGGGGGAGCCCTCCAAGCCATGCTCCTCTATCAAAGGTGAGGGGGGATGCACCCTTATGAACTCTAGCGACAGACTATGGGAGGGCCAGGGAGGAGGGGTGCACTGCAGTGATGGGAAGACACAAAGATGAAATTGTTAGCAAGACCTGAGTTGTCTGGTCTCCTGGCTCACACTCTGATCCACATGATAGTGCTTGATCTCAGGCAGGTCCCTGCTTAGCCTCCTTTCTGTCACCTGTGATGGATGAGTGGAGTTGGGCCTAGCTCCTGCGTACAAGTTGTATGCCTGCCCTCCCCTCACCAAAGCCTGGGATGCCACCCCAGGCTCTCTGGCCACGCCGGAGAAGGGGTCTGGGAGGGTAGGACCCAGGGCCCAGGTCTCTCCGGCTGCCTACGCCGCCGTCTCGGGAGCGGACGCGGCCGCTTTAAGGCGCGGTGACCCCACGGCACCCGCGGGCGGGGCGGGGACAGTGCTGGCGTCCGCGGCACCAGCAGAGGCGAACGCGAGGGAGCGAGCGCGCGGCGTCCGGCCTCAGCATGCTAACCGCGTTCGCCCCGCCAACCCTGCCCGGGATCCCAGGGCGGCTGCCCGCGGCCCCCGCGCGGCGCCAGGACTCCTCCAGTTCGTCAGGCTCCTACCACACGGCTCCGGGTTCTCCAGAGACCCCGGACGTTGGGCCGGACGCGGAGGGCAGGGCGAATTGGCCCACGGTGGCCCCTGTGCTGGGGGAGGGCGCGCAGCCTCGCCTGTCCGTCAGTGCCCAGAATAGCCGCCAGCAGATCGGGCCCAGCTCGGGTTTCCCGCGAGGCCCGGCCTCGGGCTCGCGGCCCCCCCAGCCCCAGCTGCGCATGCTGCCGTCGGGGGAGATGGAAGTCATCTTCGGCGCCGGGCCCCTGTTCAGCCGTTCTGACGCAGAGGATAGCGAGGTGCAACAGCTCACGACGCAGGCCTTCCGCAGCCTCTCTCCGCCCGGCTCCGCGTCTCCCATCTCTGCCGAACCGCAGTCCCAGGGCCCCGACGGTGGCTCCCGCTGGGCCACCTACGTGCAGCTGCGACCCCGCGGGCCGAGTCCTGCCACCCCAGCGCAGTTCGAGTGTGTGGAGGTGGCGCTGGAGGAGCGTGCCGCGCCTGCCAGGCCCCGGACGGTGCCCAAACGTCAGATCGAGCTGCGCCCCCGGCCCCGGAGTCCCCCGCGGGAGGCCAGCGCGCCGCCCCCGCGACTGTTCCTGCGCACCGGCTCCCTGGACGAGTCTCTGGGCCGCCTGCAGGCTGCCGCGGACCTCGTGCAGACGGCGCTGGCCAGAAAACTGAGCCCCGCGACCCCTGCCCCAAGCAGCGCCTCCTTCGGACCCACGGTACCGCCAGAGCCTGCGGCCTCTGAAACGCCCCGCAGTACTCGAGTGGCTCTGAAGGAGGCCAAGTCTCGGCCACCTCGTGTGCATTATAGTTCAGCCCCCGCCAGGGCCCCACGACCGTGGCCTAGCCTCCGTGAGCGCGCAATTCGGCGCGACAAGCCCGCGCCCGGGACCGAGCCGCTGGGTCCAGTTAGTTCCAGCATCTTCCTGCAGTCTGGGGAGAAGATCCAGGAGGCGCACCACCAGGAACCCAAGACTCGGTTCCCGCAAGAGACTCCGGATCGAACTGTCCTGAGGGCACAGAGTCCGTCTTCCCAGTGTAGGGCCCCCCGGGAGGTTTCGAGTAAGGCCGTGAGACCGAGGAGCCCATCCCCGCTGTGGCAAGCCCCAAATGGGACCGTGAGGGGTCCTCGCTGCCCCTCGCCCCAGAACCTGTCCCCGTGGAATAGGGCTATCCGGAAGGTGAGTGGCCCGTCGCTCCCCGAGGCATCCTCCGCATGGGGAAATCAGGATGCTGCTGTCACGGAAACTGTCAGCAGAAAGAGCCCTTCCCCTCCGACCCTTTCCCAGTGGAATCGGGGTGTTGCCAGTGCAAGAAGCCCATCCCCCAAAGCTCCTTCCTCGTGGGAGGTTCCGCATCCGGCAAGTGGGGATACAGTTAAGGGGAGTAGGAGCCCGTCCCCGCCAAACTTGTCCTCATGGGAGACTCCAGATCGTCCTACTGGGACGTGGAGCCCATCGCCCCAAGAGACGTGGGACTCCACAGTGCAGAGCTCAGCGGTAGTGTCTACGCGGGAAGCTATGAATGGAGTAGCCCAGGAGGAACTGGTGCCACCCACGCCATCTGCACCCGGGACTCCAGAGCTAACAGAGGCGCAGAGTCCGTCCACGCGGGAGATGCCGGATTTTGCCTTCCCAGGCAGCCAGCTGTCGCCAGCGGTGGCTGCACCCCAGCTGCCCCTCAGTCGCCTCGTGGGCACCCTGGATGCTGATGCGCGCCCGGAAGCCTTGGGCTCTGGAGAAGAGGCCTCGGGACGCCCGCGCGTGGCCATTCCGCGGCCCCGCGATGTGCGCAAGATGGTAAAGACCACATACGCGCCAAGCTTCCCGGCAAGCACCCCAGGCTCAGGGCTCCCTGCGCCTCCTGCGGAACCCCGCGGGGAGGAAGGCGGCGCATCCAAGACACAAGAGCTTCAGGCGCTGGGGGCCCCCGCCCCAGCTCACTACACTTCCGTTTTTCTCAAGGACTTTCTGCCGGTCGTGTCACACCCCTACGAGACCGCAGAGCCAACCACAGACACAATCCCCCGGGACGTTACGCAGCCCAACGGGGTCCTGCGGCGGAGGGCAGAGAACAGCACGGCGAAACCCTTCGCGCGCACTGAGATCCGCCTGCCTGGTGCCTTGGCCTTAGGCCGCCGGCCGGAGGGAACCCAGGGAGTCGTGGTGCGCGGTCCTGGCGGAAAGAACAGAGATGCAGAGCCCCAGCGCCTGGTCCCCGACGACAAGGGTCGTACCAGCCCTCTAGGCGGCGCTCGCACCTCACCCCAGAAGTCGCCGATAGGGCCGGCAGGGACCCAACCTCCCGGACCGCCCCGCCCTAGCTCCCCGCAGGCGTACCCTAGCTCGAGCCCTGGAATAGCACCGAAACAGGAGACGCCACCTATGGCCCCTGAGACCGCGGTTGCGGTCCAGTCGCCCCTCCCGCGGGAGCCCCAAGCGTCCACTGGCAGAGCGGCCCCGCCCCAGGCCCGCGCCGCCTCGGCGCCTCCCATGGACCGGTCCCCGGAAGGCCCCTCCCAGGGGGCGCGCAGGCCGCCCGGGGCCGCGCACCCGGGGAAGGTCCTGGTGGACCCAGAGAGCGGCCGCTACTACTTTGTGGAGGCGCCGAGGCAGCCTCGGTTGCGGCTGCTCTTCGACCCCGAGAGCGGGCAGTACGTGGAGGTGCTGCTGCCACCCTCGCCCTCGGTGCCACCCCGCCGCGTCTACACCCCGCTGGCCCTGGGTCCCGGCCTCTACCCGCCGGCCTATGGGCCTATCCCTGGCCTCTCACTGCCACCATCCCCGGGCCCGCCGGCCTTCAGCGGCCCCCAGCTACCCTGGGCCTCCGAGGCGGGGCCCCTGGACGGGATGTACTACCTGCCAGTGAGCGGGACCCCCAGCCCCGCGCCTCCTCTGCTCCTCTGTGCTCCACCCTCCAGCTTGGGTCCCGCCCAGCCGAGCAAGGGCTCCTTGTTCCCCGTGTGAGGCCCCAAGGCCTGATCCCCATGGTGTTGGGGTCCGTTAATGGCCTTGGAGGTTCTGGCATCCAGTCCTGTGCCCTCTTTTCCTTCTATCACCTCTTTCTTTTACCCATCTCATGCAGTCTTCAGACCAGAAGTTACCTTCAGAGTGCTTATCTGAGACCCCCAGCGCTGATGGAGCTGGAGCTCAGGAAATGGCTGCCTGTTTCCTCTCCCGACAAACTCGTATACCCCTTTCCCAAGCATTCCCAGAGTGTGGTGTGTTGGGGGGCTGTGTGTGTGTGTGTGTGTGTTGTGGGATAAAAAAATGCAGATCGTGAGAGTTGTGAGTTAAGTTTTATTTGGGGCAAAATGAAAACTATAAGCCTGGGAGACAGCCTCTCAGCACTGAGGAGCTGCTCTGAAGAGGTAAGTGAGGGAAGTCAGTATAGATGTGGGTTTGGTGAAGGAGCATACAGGCAATCAAGCACACATTTTGGCAGAAGGTTGCTGCTAGTCACAAGGAGCAGATGTCCATTAATGATTTTAGTGCTTTTCTAGTTATGAGAAGATGCAAGAAATTGGGCTCATAAAATCTTCTCCTGAAAATATCTGACTATCTAAAGGCCTTTTCTGCTAGTTTTTCCCAGATCACAGAGGGCCTCATTCCTGATCTCTGCCCAGAACTCCTTTCAGGGTGTATTGAAGGTCAACGATTGCACTGGCTAGTGATTTCATCCTTGTAGAGGCAGCTGGCAAGTGACAATTTTTAGTTGGTAGCGTGAGAAATCCCAGGACATGGCCCCAGATGCCGACCTGAGGGGGTGATAGGGTTCCTCGGGAACAGCAGGAAATGGGAACTGCAGGGGACAGGGCTGCCCCCAGAGGTAGTGAGCTGTCTGTGTCTCCCTGAAGGTGGGCCCAGCAGAGGTGGAGCAGGCTAGTGAGCACTGTTGGGATGAAGAGAGAAAGACACTGGCTATCAAATCTGTTATTCTTTGCAAGAGGATCTGAGCCTTGGCCTGGGAGGCTGCGGGGGAGAGTGGCTAGTGCAGGCCCTAGGTGAGTCTCATCTGAGAGCGGTAGCTGCGGGGACAGGTGGTGGAGGTGGAGAGGGAAGTAATCGGGAGGGGCCGTGGAGGGTCATCCCGGGACTTGGGGGTGGGGTTGCTGTGGGGAAGGTGGGGAGGTGACTGTAGTCTCCAGCTGGGAGTACCGCCCCTCATTCTCCCTTCAACCCCAGCCTCTGACTTGGCTTGTCTAAGCCCTCAGAGCTGAACTGGCTGGTCCTGGGGTTAGGAGTGGAGGTTCCAGCCATTCCCACCGAGGGTGGGGGACAGATGAGTGCGTCGTCAGGAAAGACTTAAAAGCACGGAGGATGGTTGAGCTGTTGTCCCAGAGGAGACTCTTGATCTCTCTGGGTGGGGTGGAGGGTGGGTTAGGGCTGGCAAAAGAAGGGATGCCCCTGTGAGGAGCCCTCATCTGGTTCCACTGCCCTGGTAACAGGTGTGGCAAACATGCCTAGGGAGGGGCTGGCTCTTCAGGCTGGTCACAGCATAGGAAGGGACGGGACCCAGGGCCTGTGTTCCATTGCCTTGAGATTCCAGGAGCTTCTGAGGAGAGCAGAGGGAGATGCATGGTGTGGGAGGTGCTCTGCGTGGGGGTCTGTGTAGAGTTCTGAGTGAAGTGGCTGGGCCTTGTGGGACTGGTATGTGATGTGATGAGTTTGGGGAAGAACAGTTACCATTAGAAGCAGTGTCAGGGATGGAGATCAATGCCTTCCTTAAGTTCCAGGCCTCCGGGGGCCCTGGATCCCTTGGAGTCACTGCCCCCTTGCCTTGAACTGGGCCCCCTTGCCTTGAACTGGAAGCTGACTGAGAGAACTATGAGTCAGAATAACCTGGATATCTTTCTGTGGCTGGAGATGCTGGTCCTGATGGCAAGGAGGGCCCTGGGCCACTCCTGGGCCCCTCACCGCATCGTGGTGTGCAATAAATTGCTGACCCAATGGCCACGATGGCTGGAACAACTGGTGTAAGGTGTCTGATTTCCCGCTGCGGTCCCTTAACACCCCCAGAGTGCCCTTCCATGCCTGGGTGTGGCCTGGAGGAGGGGACCATGTGTGTCTTTCATACACTGTGGCATCCCTGCCTCAGCGAACTTGCCTCTCAGGGAGGGAGCCTTGGCTGGCAACCACGCCTGTGGCCTCATTCCTCCTGGTGGCTGAGTGGCCAGTGTGCCTTGGGGTCAACCAGGCTTGGGTTCCAATCTCAGCATAGCCCTTCTAGCTGTGTGGCCTTGGATTTGTCACTTTTCTCTGAACCTTTGTGTCCTCAGGGGTAGATGTAAGATGACAGTAACAAGCCACCTCCTTCCCTGAGGGGCTCAGCGCAGTGCCTGCCATGTGCTCAGGTCCCAGGACATGAGAGGTATCAGCCCCCATGTGTCCTCGCCCAGGCCCAGCCCCTCTCCTTGCCTCATTGGCTGGAACCGGGGTCCCACGAGAGGAGGTGTGCGAGCAGTGTCTCAAGGGTCCTGGGGGAAGGGAGAGAACGGGAGGGTGAGGTGTCGGTTTCCCATTGGTCTGGGGCAGGCTCTCTGCAGCAACCCCCACTGCAGGAACACACCTGCACCCCTGCACCCGAACCACAGTCCCTGCTCGCTGAGCCAGCTCCACAGACCATGAGGCTGTCGCCGCTGCTGCTGCTGCTGCTGGGGGCCTGGACCATCCCAGGGGGCCTTGGGGACAGGGCCCCGCTCACAGCCACCGCCCCCGAGCTGGATGATGAAGAGAAGTTCTCAGCACACATGCCTGCTCACCTGCGCTGTGACGCCTGCAGGGCAGTGGCCTACCAGGTGAGCCCCCCACCCTCTCGCCGTGCCGCGAGCAGTTCTCCTGCCCCTACCCAGGCCCCCACCCAAGCCAGACCCCTCCATCTACCTCAGATTCCACCGCTGGCCTTGGATCCCCAAACCCCGCCCCCCCCCAAGGCATCGAGCTAGACTCAGCCTTCCATGATATTGCCATCTTCACCTCACCGGCACCGGCCTGCCTCAGTTTACCTATCTGTCTGCCCAACAAAGAGCAGGCGATCTCTGGGACACCAGGGAGTCACTAGCTTGTCCTCTCGGACTCCTCCCTTTCTAGAACCACCCTTAAGTCTGGGCTCCTTCCCAAAGCATGACTGGGGAGCACTGGTGTATGTGTACACGTGTGCATGTTTGTCAATCCCATGAGTCCATGAGCATGTGTGTGTCTTGAGTTCACATACAAACCTGTCACGCGTGCCTGAGTACCTGTGTGTGTCTGTGTGACTGTGTGCACGTGCACGCACACGGGGGCTATGAGTACACGTGTCACTGAAGACTGGGAGGTTTTTTTTTCTTTCCTTGTTCTTGTGGTTTCAAATAGTGTGTGCTGATGGGCAGGTGTTGCCTGGGGGAGGGGCCCCAATGCCCTGGCCTAATTCTCCACCTCAGTGTTTCCCACCCACCTCCCGTCCCAAAGTAGCGGGTCTTGCCTCAGCTGGCGTGGTCCCAGCTTTCTGGACCTGGGGGAGGGCCGTGAAGCCTGCCTCACAGGTGCTTCCTGCTAAAAAGGCTCCATTGCCTCGTTCTTCCTCAGAGACACAGGCTTCTGTCCCCGCCCCCAGCCCAATCACACCTCCTTTCACGCTGAGCAGTTCTGAAGCCCTGGTTCTCAACCCCTCCTTGTTCCAGATGTGGCAGCATCTGACAAAGGCAGAGGCCAAGCTTCACACCCTGGACTCCAGGGGCTGTGGCAAGCTGAGCGAGTCGGTATACACAGATGTCCTGGACCGGAGCTGCTCCCAGACCTGGCAGGGGTGAGTTGAAAATCTGGCCCCTGCCCCCCTCCTCCAGCGGCAGGCTGATGAGTGGGGCTTCTCATTCTCCCACTCACACACCACACACACTCCACTAGAGCTCTGGCCCAAGGGTGGGGACTGGCTGGGACAGAGTCTGAGCTCTGGAGCTGGGAGCAAGTAGAAGAGTAAGGTGGCCAGGAGACAAGGTTGCTGTGTGACTTTGGGCCAGGAGTTTCCCCTTTCTGGTCCTTAGTTTTTCAGCAAGGAGGATCAGAATCTGGGCACTAAACTCGGCAGATGCCCAGTATGCCCAGCTTCATGTGCTGATGGGCTCCACTAATGCTGTCTCCCTCTCGTCCCACTGCCTCCAGCTACGGAGTTGGAGAAGTGGACCAGGTGAAACATCTCATGGGCCCAGGACTTAGGAAGGGGCCGGAGCCGAGCATCAGTGTGATCATCATGGGGGCGCCGTGGCCCACGAGGTCATGACTGGAGGATTGGGGTGGGATGGAGCCTTGGTCTGCCCCACTGCGGGCCAGGCAGAGTCTGAGGCTCCTCCTGGGCTCCCCTAGGCTCTCCAAGACATGCTTTCACTACCTGGGGGAGTTTGGAGAAGACCAGATCTACGAAGCCCACCAACAAGGTCAAGGGGCCCTGGAGGCATTGCTGTGTGGAGGCCCCCGGGGGGCCTGCTCAGAGGAGGCACCAGTCACAAGGGCAGAGCTCTAGTCCAACTCCTCCTTCCCCTTCCTGGTCAGCCCCTAAAGGGAGCTGGGCTTCCTCTGGATCTGTCCCCTCCTTTCTGCAGGCTTCCTGGAGGGCGGGGAGGCCTTGTTCTTCTGTGCTGCCACTCTCCCTCCCTCCTCCAGCTTCTGGACCCTGGGGCCTGGGGGGCGGCCAAGGCCTTCCCCTCTGGACTCAAATAAAACCAGTGACCTCAATTCCTTCTCTCTGCAAAAGGTGCTTGGGGGGCTGGGAGGATAGACATTGGTGTTTCTGCTGACGTCCCTCCTAGAGAGGGCCAGGTACACATCCCCCACAATTTCCCAGAGGTAAGTGAGATCTGTCATGGCTGGAAATGTGAGTGAGCTGTCAAAGGCATATGGAACCAGTTATCTGAATGGTTGAAACCCCAGATCCCTCAGGAGAGAAAAGAAAAGCCAAGGCAAAGTCCATAAGCAGGCTGCCTGTGGACATACCCACTGCAACCACTGCGTGCTACTGTGCCCCTCCAAGAACACTAGTCTTCCTGGGTCTACACCCAGCAGCTGCTCACTTTCTAGACTCTGCTTCTGACCCCAGCTAGCATGGTTGAGCCCTCGGTGCTCACCTGGGACAGGGCAGGGCAGGGGTCCTGGAACAGGCTGGATTCAGTGTCTTGGCTCTACGTCCTGCTCTCCCCAGAAATTCTCATCTGGGGCCCTTTTCTTAGAAACGGAGAAAAGAGCTCCACCTGGTTCACACCTGGGTCTGGGTATCTGGGGTCAGTGGTGCTACAGCTTACAGATTCATTTGTGTCTCTGATCCTCCAAAGCCCTGGAAAGTGGACAGAACAGACACTCTAATCCCCTCTTGACACGTGCAGAAACTGGGGCTCAGACAACAAAAGAGGCTCAGGCAGAGTCCCAGGCTGAGCAGTGGCAGGGCTGGGAGGGGATTCAAATTTGGGGAGTGGGGGAAGGTTAGGGCTGAAGGAATGGTGGTGTCCCAGGCAGGCCCTTACCACTCTGCATCCCAGCCCCCTACGTTCCATCACCTGTTCCCCATCTGCCTGAGGCCCCTCCTCCTGGCCCTCAGGAGAGAACTCTTAAGCACCAGGAGAGCCAGGGCCCAAGGAATTGGCTGAGCGGTCAGTAGTATCAGGTGTGGAGCCGGGAGCCTGTGACGTGCACCTGCGTGGCCCTGTGTTTTTGTGGAGTGATTTAGAGACACTTTGCATCAGAGTCTAGGTGCTCCGGGTCCATTTGTGTGATTGCGTATCTGAGACCATGTGCAACTTCCCGGCTTTGTCTCCATGTGTGTGGTATGTGGTTTGGGTTGATTTGAGGGTCCAATGGACAGTGTGTGGAAGGGGTAGGGCTGTCTCCCCAGCCCCTGGGAAGTACCGGGGAGGAAAGGGTGGGAAGGAGAGTGCCGAGGAGTAGAGGCTTCGAACTGGGCAGATGACTTTGGGAACCTGGAAACAGGAGCCAGGATTTGAGAGGAGAGGACAGGTGGACGGAGGAACGGGCTGGAGGCTGGACAGGCCGTCGGATTCGGATTCGGGGCTGTGACATGAAGCTGCTACCCAGCTGGACAGTGGTGCTGCGGGGGAGGCCTTGGGGCAGGGCCTGGCCATGGGCACAGCGACCCAGAAGCAGGTGGACCCTAATGCGGTTGGGGCAGCGCAGAAGGGAGCAGAATCAGGGCCCTCAGCCCCTGGGCTCTCCCCAGCCCCCAGGAGGGGAAGATAGGCTGGGCCCAGGCCGGCTTCAGTGGCTGCGTGGCAGTCACGCAGGGCCTGGTGCTTAGAAAGGCCCCACAAATCAGTTTAATGCTCTGCTGTTGCTGTTTTTTAATTTATAATACTTTTGCAACAGGGGCACCAGATTTTCATTTTGCACTGGGTCCCACAGATTATGTAGCTGGTCCTGACTGGGAGGGGAAGGGAAGGAATCCTTGTCCTGACACAGAGGACAAACAAGACCGGGCTAGCCTCGGCAGCTCCTTCTCCGGAGGCCCATCTGTTCTGTGCCTCAGGGACCCTGAGGGGTGAGCGGAGGTGGTGGGGAGGGCAGCCCTGTCTGACATTTAATGTATAATTAACAGCGTGGGCTCAGTAGTTCAGGCCAACCTGAATTTTTGGAATGGCTTTCTAAAGCCTTGCTACCTGTGTGGCCTTGGTCAGATCACATCTCCTAAATCTGTTTCCTCAGCTGTAAAAGAGGTTAATGGCACCCAGCACCTGGGGTTAAACATGACAATACATAGATGTTGCTTGGCACGCAGTTGTTCCTAAATAACGAGATGGGTTATGATGATGATAATGATTAACTTTTGATTAATAAGCAGGGAAAAGCCTCATTCAGAGTGTGCCATAATATGTGCCCATTTTCACTCCCTTTCCTCTCACCTCACCCAGGGCCTGGTAAACTTCCAAGGCCGTCCGCTCCTCACCCCCACTCCGGCCCTCTCTCGGAAAATACCTGTCCCGTGCCCAGGCTCAGGTGCGGGCAAGGAAGGGTGTGCTCGGGAGGTAAATGTGGCAGAGGCTTGGGCGGCCTTTTCCACTGTGGCCGGAGTTAATACGTTACCTGGGCCTGGGCCCTCCTTTCGCAATCGGTGTTGGAGATCTGGTTACAGATTTACTTTGAACAATGTCGGCTACGCGGATTAAAGTCCTCCTTGGCCTTCGTATAAGCAATCCCTTCTTCTTCTCAGGAACTGCTCACACCTGTGCCCCAAAGATGAGGGCCCAGGAGGACCCTGAGGGCCAGACACAGGTGCTGGGGAATGAGGGGAGTGGGTGGGGGCAGGGTGGGGCTGGGGGCCTGAGCAGTCCTTGCTCCCTGGGAGGGCAGAGACAAAGGTTCTGATGAACTGGATCAAGAGTGACTGTCCCAGGCGGAATGTGGCAGTTGGGGGAGGGGTGGGGTGGCAGTGGGGTGAAGGAGACTCTTCTGCTTTGGGACTGGCTCACCCCAGCTTGGGGGCCAGCAGGGGCCCAGCCTACCGCCCCATTAGTGACACCCCAAGGACCTCTAAGGGACGGGGGGGGACCAGAGTACGTCCAAGAGGGCCTGTCACAGTCTCCAGCCCTCTTTGCCTCCTCTCCTGGTGACCCCGGCCTTCTGACGTATGGGCCCGTTCCCTTGGCTAGAAGGCCCAGGTTCTGAGGGCTCCAGGAGCCAGTACAGCGGACTCATCCCTGCACAGAGCAACGTGAGGTGGAAGCCACGTGTAGCCAGGCCAAGGGGTAGCTGGGTGCATGAGCATTGAGGGAGGGTGGGGACCCCATTCTGAGGAGCTGACAGGCCACTTGGGCTACCTAATTGATTCTGAAGCAGAATGGACTTTTCTGGTTCCCATCACTCCACGCTGAGTTACTTCTCTCTGCTGCCCCCAGCATGAGTCCCTGGGCTCAGCAGGGACCTCCACGAAGGACCCCCCGACGGCCCTGTGCACAGAGCCCAAGTCTGACATGTTGTACAAGATCGAGGATGTGCCGCCCTGGTACCTGTGCATCCTGCTGGGCTTCCAGGTGGGCATCTCCCCAGGGCCTTCTCACCCCCGCCCTGCCTGCTCCCCAGCCCCCTCCCTGGCCAAAGAGGTCATCTTGGGTAACAGGAAGAAAAACCTAAAGTCGGAAGCAGTGACTGTCACCAAGCAGGGGTGGGGAAGAGGCTTGATGGGGCCTGAAAGGGACGAGGTATCACCTGCCAGGCGGAGTGCCGGTGACAGGAAAGGGGGCCCACTCCACAGAAGCTGCAGGAATAACTTGGGGCAGATTAGTAACCCCCAGAGAGGTGAGCAGTCGCTCTGTGGGAATGCCTTATGGGAGTATCAGTCCTGGGTGGGCACACTGGCAGGGGTGGCACGGGCTCAGGCCCACTGAGGCAGGCGTGAGGACTGTGAGGGTTCCCCTGCCTCCCTGTGAGCTCCGTGGGCCCTGCCTCATGTGCTCTCCCCACACCCCTAGCATTACCTGACCTGCTTCAGTGGCACCATCGCTGTGCCCTTCCTCCTGGCTGAGGCGCTGTGTGTGGGCCGTGACCAGTACATGGTCAGCCAGCTCATTGGTACCATCTTCACCTGTGTGGGCATCACCACCCTCATCCAGACCACACTGGGCATCCGGTGAGCTGCCCCACTCCCACCCCTACCCCACCCCACGTAGACACACACGCAGTGATCCACACAGCAGGAGCAGTCTCAGAGGACTCTTGTGGGACAAGAAAAACTGCTATCTCCCCCCACCTGCTGCTTCTGCTTCCAGGCTAGCCTTAGAGCTAGGCAGCTGGGGTCCCACCCTGGACCCCTGGTGTTCCTCAAGGAAAGGGAACGTGCCCTAGCTGGGCTCTCCTCTGTTAAGCTTTACTCTGGGTAATTGGGACCACTCACTCCCCTGCTGCCAGGGCTTGTGTGGGCCTCTTCAGTGGTCTGTCCTCCTGGGGGCCCCCTGCCCCCGTGTGCACAGTCCTAGGCCTGGGTGGCCTAAGGATGGTCATTTGTGTGGTGGGAAGATGAAGGAAGGTTGTGAGTGGAGCTTGCATGCAGGAGCTGAGCTGTCCACTTCTGTGCACATGGCCCCTCACAGTTCAGGAGCTGGTGCTGAGAAGGAAAGGGAGCATAGCAGGTTGTGAGACAGGGGCTCCATCTGTTTTCTTTCTTAGGCCCCCAAAATGTTAGAGTCCTGCCTGGGGCCTCAGTGACTTCCCTCTGTTCTGCCCTTGCCCTTGTTCCTCTTTGTCTCTGTCCCTGTGTGTGATTCTCCCTGTGCCTCGCTCTGTGCCCCTCCCTCCCCATCTCCCCTGTCTCTGTGTTCCTGCCTCCCCACCTCCCACCCTGTCCCTGCTGCTCTGTGCCTCTCTTTCCAGGCTGCCACTGTTCCAGGCCAGCGCCTTTGCATTTCTGGTCCCAGCCAAAGCCATCCTGGCCCTGGAGAGATGGAAATGCCCTCCAGAAGGTGGGCACATTTCTGGGGGCTGCACTGGAGAGGGGAGCCCCAGGAGCCCGGAGATCTGGGCGACTGTTCCACGTCCATACCCCAAGGTGCCTTCAGGGCAGCATCTTTACTTTGTCTCTGTTCCCTGTGCACGTGTGTGTATGTGTGTGTGTTCCTGTCTATGCCCCCAGAGGAGATCTACGGTAACTGGAGTCTGCCCCTGAATACCTCTCATGTTTGGCACCCACGGATACGAGAGGTGGGTTTGCACGTGGGGTAGAAGAGACCTGGACTTGAGGGTGGGACTAGATGGGAAGGAAGGCCACTGCTGAATTGGGGGATATGAGGATGTGGTCCAGGAACATTTTTTTAACATAGAGGTCATGGCTTCTACATGGTGACTTATAGCTGATCTTTGCTTTTCCAGGTCCAGGGTGCAATCATGGTGTCCAGTATGGTGGAGGTGGTGATTGGGCTGATGGGGCTGCCTGGGGCCCTGCTCAGTTACATCGGGCCCCTTACAGTCACCCCCACTGTCTCCCTCATTGGTCTCTCTGTCTTCCAAGCTGCTGGTGACCGAGCTGGCTCCCACTGGGGTATCTCAGCTTGGTGAGTGGCCACCAGGCCTGATCCTTGCCCAGCCCCAGTCCCTCAACCCCTTCGTGTCCTGCCCCCTTAGCCTTGGCTCTTGCCCCCAGCCCGGCCTACCAGCCGTTTTCTCATTGTGCTTCTGTCCCCAGCTCCATTCTCCTGATTGTCCTCTTCTCCCAGTACCTGCGAAATCTCACCTTCTTGCTGCCTGTCTACTGCTGGGGAAAGGGCCTCACTCTCTTCCGCATCCAGATCTTCAAGATGTTTCCCGTGAGGAGCTGACAGGCGGTTCGGGCTGGGACTAGGGCAGGGGCTGGACCTATGTCCAGGGCCAAGGGCAGGGGCAGCAGGGGAGCTAGAGGCAGAGTTGAGGTCCTAGCCAGGGATGGGGGCCCGGGTCTGAGCTGGGGCTGGGGCACAGGCTCGGGCTGGGGCTAGGGCTAAGGTAGGAGCTGGTTAGCCTGGACCAAGACCTCCTGGGCCCTCAGTGCAACCCTCACCCCCCACCCCCACTTCAGATCGTGCTAGCCATCATGACCGTGTGGCTGCTCTGCTATATACTGACCCTGACGGACGTGCTGCCCTCAGACCCCACAGCCTATGGCTTCCAGGCACGAACAGATGCCCGAGGGGACATCGTGGCTATTGCTCCCTGGATCCGCATCCCCTACCCCTGTGAGCAACTCCATCTGGGCCCCTCTGCCTCCAACTGAGACCATCAGTGAGGCCCCTGGTGACCCCAGTCCAGCTGATGACATAACAACTATTAGCTGCACATTTATAGTGTGCCAGGCAGAGTGGTGCTGTACTCAAAGTCTCACTCCAGCTTTATGACTCTAAGTGACCCCAAATAAGCTCCCACAACTGTATAACTCCCACCCCAGCTTGAGATCTCTTTACCCCTTCCCCTGCTCCACCCAAGTACTGCCTAGTCCACTCCCTGACCCACCTAGGAACACTCATTGCATCCAACCTCCCATCTCCCTGTTGATACAGGTCAGTGGGGGCTTCCCACAGTGACTGCGGCTGCTGTGCTGGGAATGTTTAGTGCCACATTAGCAGGCATCATTGAGTCCATTGGAGATTACTATGCTTGTGCCCGCCTGGCTGGCGCACCACCCCCTCCAGTGCACGCTATCAACAGGTATGCCGACCTGCCCTCCCCGGTATCTCATCCCCTCAAGGGTCACTCAGGAAGCAAACGTACGGACAAAATTGAATCCCAGAGGTGGGGGACAAGGAGTTGGGCAAGTCACTAACTCTCCACGTTCTCCTTACTTATGAAATGGAGATGCTCTCATCACTCACTCTGTGTTGCGAACAGCTGAGGAGACAACGAAGTCTAAGGGAAACTACAGTCACTGACAGCCTTCCATGTGTCTAGCTCTTTCTTTCTTTATTTATTTGGCTGCACCTGCTCTTAGTTGCGGCACATGGGATCTTTTTAGTTGCGGCATGCGGGCTCTTAGTTGAAGCATGTGAGATCTAGTTCTCTGACCAGGGATGGAACTGGGGCCCCCTGCATTGGGAGTGTGGAGTCTTCACTGCTGGACTACCAGGGAAGTCCCCATGTGTCTAGCTCTTGATGTGTGTTCTCTTATGCAATCCACTAATGGCTCTGTAAGACAGGTACTCTTAATATCCCCATCTGACAGATGAGGAAATTGAAGCCCAGAATCACCTAAGGATTAAGTGCCAGGGCAGTGGGACTAGCATTCAGACCTGGGCTCCTGGCTCCCAGACCCACCTCTGGCTCGGAGTGGGGAGTACTACGGACAGACAATTGCAGCTCACACAGCCCTAGAGACTCTGGCCAGGCTGGCCAGGGCAATGGGAGGACACAAACCAGGCTAGAGCATGGACCAAGGCCCCCACTTGCCCTTTTCTTACAGGGGTATCTTCACTGAAGGCATCTGTTGCATTATCGCAGGGCTGCTGGGCACAGGCAACGGGTCCACCTCGTCCAGCCCCAACATTGGTGTCCTGGGGATTACCAAGGTGCCGCAACTAGCCAGAGCGGCACAAAGCCGCGCCCCCATTCCATGTGCCACAGGCCCCGCCCCAAATCTGTCCCTACTTTGACCTAGCCCCACCCTACCTTTGACAGGCCTCCCTTGCATCATGCTCTGACCAATATGTACCTTGCTCTTATAACAGGCCCCACCCACCCACCACGCCCCTCCCCTCCCACAACTAACCCTGCACAACTTCACCCTCTGGGTCTAGCCCCACCCGTTGGCTCACTGGCAGGTGGGTAGCCGGCGCGTGGTGCAATATGGTGCGGGTATCATGCTGGTCCTGGGCACCATTGGCAAATTCACAGCCCTCTTCGCCTCGCTCCCTGACCCCATCCTAGGGGGGATGTTCTGCACCCTTTTTGGTGAGTGTTGTGCGTGCTTTTGGGGCGTGGTCGCTGTGTGGTGGAGCCCACCCAGCCTGGGAGGAGCCTCCAGCGGTTCTTTTGTGCTCTCAGGCATGATTACAGCTGTGGGACTGTCTAACCTGCAGTTCGTGGACATGAACTCCTCCCGCAACCTCTTTGTGCTTGGATTTTCCATGTTCTTCGGGCTTACGCTGCCCAATTACCTGGACTCCAACCCGGATGCCATCAACACAGGTGCCTCCACCTGTCTTACCTGTCTCAGGGTGGGGGAGGTGTGGTGGGCTCGACTGAGCATAGCCTCTTCCCTCAAAGGCTCCACACAGCCAGAGCCACAAATCCTGCCCATCTCTGGATGTTAGCAGCTGAGGCTAATTAACAGCTGTTCTTTACTAAGACACTTTCTGTGGACAGGTATGAGCTTTACATATGCTCATTTAATTTTCACAACAGCTCCATGAGACAGATACTATTACCATCTTCATGTTACAGGTGAGAAAAGTGAGGTTCAGATGGGTTAAATGATTTGTTGCAAGACAAGTAGCAACCAGCAAAACTGGGATTTGAATCCAAGGATGGGAGAGGCAGAGAAACCTTGACTTGAGAAAGTCAAGGTTTTGTATTGTTCCATCTCTGTGCTTGCTCAAGGAAGTCAGCAGGCTGCACCAGTGAGGAGAAAGTCTCTGAGCTCTGTTCCCCAGATGGAGCCGTGACACCCATTAGCCTTTGGCCAATTCCACATGCATTCCTGAAGTGGACCAGATTCTGACTGTGCTGCTGACTACAGAGATGTTTGTGGGTGGGTGCCTCGCTTTCATACTGGACAACACAGTGCCAGGTATGGGTCAGCCCTGGGAGGGGAACAGAGAACTAGGTTGGACTCAGAGGCAGTCCAGCAGATGTCTCCTGAGCCAGAGCTGTGGCCAGGTCAGATGCAATGCCTCAGGTCCTGCAGGGAGAAGCAGGAACAGATGGGCCGGAGGGAGAGTCCACCAGCCTGATAGAGGCACAGGTTTCCCTCTTAGTCTTGAAGAGGGTGTGGCTAGGAGAGTCATTCCCGGGCCCTGTAAATTGCTTCTTTTCCATTTCTTTGTTGCCACTGGGTTGAGGGTTGCTTTTGCTTTCTTAGAGTAGAACAGATGGAAATGTAGCATCAGTATGTTGGCAAAATTCACTCCAAATATGCCAGTGACTTATGCTGGCTACTAGAAGAGCCCCTAACGTTTCTCTTTGGTATCAGGGCTTTTTACAGGGATCATGGAGGATACTTTGTGGGGTCCCTGAGAATCCTCCTGACCCATGTTTATGTGCCCAGTAAATATATAAAAACTAAATGTCACCAGGTGCTCTAACTAGTAATAAGAATAGTTAGCATTTACCAAACATTTATGGGTCAGGCATGGAGCTAAATGTCTCCTTTCATTCTCAAAAACTATCCTGTGAGGCAGAGACTATCAACACCATTTTATATGAGAAAAAAGAATCAGAGGTTAGGTGACTCACCGAAGGTCACAAAACTTGCTGATTTAAAACGTTGCAAATTTGGGATTTAAGCAAGTCCATCTGATGCAGTTAGTCCAAGGCCTGTGTCCCAGCCACTCCACCACAATGCCTCTGCTAGAGAGTTTCAGGGAAGTGTAAGATCAAGGAAAGCTCTGTAGAGACGGGGGCTAGATTGCATCAGTCCAGAGAGATGACAGATGGAGGATGATAGCTCTCCATCTTCTGCGACTTAACAGTCTAAACATAGCTGACCCCACTTGCTTTCCCCTCTCTGAAGACACAAGTGTCTATTCAGAGCACAGGAATCAGCGGCTGGCTATGCACAGCTGGTGGGTTAGAGTTTGGGCAGGGAAGGGCCAGGACACCCTGGCACTTTCAGGGATTTTAGAAAGCATCAGATGAGGGAGCTTTTGGTAGCAGCTATCACTTGGATGGATGGGTGACACCTGACCATGGTACCCACCTCGCCCACCAGAGGAAGCTGAGGTGGAGAAGCTCATCCTGTTGACATGAGACAGGGAAGTGGCAACCTCAATGTCTAGGGAATCCACGGAGATAGAGGGCGTCTGAGTGGGCAGCTGTACAGAGGGGTCTGTGATTTGGGCAGCTGGATTAAGCTACCCAGATGTTAACAGCCTCAGAGTGCCTGAGTTCCTCACATCTCTATCCTTCAACCCAACTGCCCATCAGCAACCATCTCTGCCAATGATCAATATATGTATTATGCTACATAATCTTCAACAGTCCTTCAACGTGCATGATGAGGAATCTGAAGCTCAAAGTGGTTAAATCACTTGCCTAAGGTCACACAACCTGGTTTCAAGCCCAGGTTTGGATGGCTCAGAACCTTGTCCTCAACAATGGAATTGCAGAGCTTTATTCTGTAGGATGGGTACATTTTGCTGATAGACCACTTTGCATTTGCTCTTACTCTTTACCTACCCACAGACCAACCTTAGAGGGGCAGTAAGTTTAGTTCAGCAAGTGCTACTGGAGCAAGCACGGCCCTGAGTTAGACACTTAAGGGTAAAAAACATTAAGTCAACAAGATAGGAAGTAAAACTGGGTTTAAAGCAATTTAGAGCAATAAGGTGAATGAGCCTGGGCTGGAGTCATCTGGAGGGCTTCCTGGATGATTCTGGGTGGGGCCAAGAAGATTAGGACTTGCAGAAGCACTGGAGAAGGCAACACAGGTAGGGATGTGGAGGGGAGGCGAGGGAGTGCCGGGCTGGCTCTTGTGTCCCAGCAGTGGTGAGGAGTGGGGCCATCAGTCACCTCAGTCCTGTGCCACAGCTGCAGCTCTTCACCCTCCGCTCTGCCCACCTGTGCTCTTTGTGCAGTCAGGCCCAGTTCAAACAGTACCTCCTCCAAGTGGTCTTCTCTAAGGACGCCAGCCCTCCCTCAGTGCCCTCTCTGAGACTTTGGGACACATTTGCTTTCTTTACTCATGGGGCTTTTCAGCCTGGGCTGCCAACGCGTGGAAATCTTTGCACTAGATTTACACTGTCTCACAGTCTTCGGTCAACCCCAGCCCTCTTGTGAAAACCTCAGAGAATTCACACATCCCTCCCATACCTCCTAAAGGAGATTTCCCCTTGTAAAAAATCTCTCTTGCGTATCCCTACCATCAACAAAGATTTTACTTAGCTTGACTTTCTGAAGTTTGTATTATAAAAACAAGAGTTTATTTTCCAAATATGGAATCATAATATTGAATATTAATACTGATTACAGTGTTTCAAAATATAACTTCCTGCCCTCACAGCAGTCTGAGCATTATTTGGTCCCCACTGGCCCAGCAGACACCAGCCCCATACTTGAGATGTAGGCCGACAATTACTTAACCGTCTGCCTGCCTTCTTGATCATAAAATTTTGTGTAATAGTGCCTATACACCTCCCACCAATGTTTCAAAGAAATTAGATAATGAAATAAAAGCACTTAGCACAGACCATGGCACACTGTAGATACACAATAAATACTAATTACGTATAACCAGTATCCCTTAGGGTTCCCTAGTGCTCTAGCCAAGTTAGGAGCTGAGAGATCACAGATTCAACTTTTCAGGACCAGAGAATTGAGAATCAAGACAACTCCAGAAGTCTACCTTATGACTAGGTTATGGGAAGGGGAGGTAGCAGAGGATTGCTGGCTCTGGCAAGTGACCCCACTGTTCTCTTCCAGGAAGCCCAGAGGAACGAGGTCTGATACAGTGGAAAGCTGGGGCCCACGCCAACAGTGAGATGTCTACCAGCCTCAAGAGCTATGACTTTCCCATTGGGATGAGCATGGTAAAAAGAATTGCCTTTCTGAAATACATTCCTATCTGCCCAGTCTTCAAAGGATTTTCTTCAAGGTCAAAAGACCAGCTTCCAGTTCCAGAATACACCCCACAAAATACAGAAACTGGGTCTGTGTGCACCAAGGTCTGAAAAACTGCACCCAGGAAAGGTAGGATGTCTGTTAGTCTATGGCTTTTGTGGGAGGGTTGAAAAATCACAACATTCTTATGCTTTAACCAAAGAGAAAACAAAGTACTCAGTTTCCATTTCTGTGACCTATTTGAATATTTTCAATCAGAAGGCATACTGGGTAAAAAGTCAATATACATATGTGGAACTCCTTAGCCATTTTATAGTGACAGTGGAACTTCCCAACAGGTGTGGGCCAGTAACCTTGTAGGAGGTTACAAGTATACTGAAGTATTGATCCCTTTGGCCTTTGGTTATCTGGGCTGATACTAGGTCAACTGGAGCCCATGAGCCATAAACTCTAGCTACAGGCAGCCTCATCCTTACACTCTAGTATGATAAATTACACTTTATGACATAGAAAAGGTTGAGAAGTAACTGACATAGCATAAGAATAGGAAAAATCCTTTCACATTAAGGTGCCTTGTTTAAACAGTTGTAATAAAATAAAACCCCTACGAAACAGAATGACTTCAGTTACCCTAAAACTATGCCACATAGGCCCAGATGGGGTAATAATGTGTTTCAAGCCCTTAAAAAAAAATCAAAGTAGTTTTAATGTGCACATTGCCTCAGACAAGTTCCAACAAAGTGAGAGCTTAGCTTAGATAACTCCTTAATTGTAATAAGTCACTTAAATAGAACTTTCTATGTACCAGGGATTGTCTTAAGTACTTGATGTGTATTAACTAATCACACAATCCTGAGATAGGCTAGTCTTTGCTCTTAATCATTAGGTTACAATGCCTCTCTAATTCAAGTTTATAAGCTCTAATTATACTGCATGATGATAATTTGGCAGTATGTGGAAATGAACTCATTTGCCCCCATCCAGGCTCAGAGAAGTGATCTGTAACCCTCATATACTTGGCAGCCTGCTGTGCCACTTGTGGTACTGAGCTGTTAGAGAACAGAGGGGACTGGTGGTATTATGGCTCCAAAAAGAATGAGAGCCAAGCAGGATCGTCTGCTTCAGCATCTTAAAAAACCTGTTTATTAGCTTAGTAAGGTAGCTATTAAAAAACAACAGGCACAGGTACGCACACCAAAGGACCCTAGATGGCCTTAATCTTGAGCCCTCCAAGCTCAAGAAAAACAGAGGACATTATCAACGACTGAGTAGGGCCATGGGGCAGAATTGTATGTGGAACCAGGAAATTGCTAGTTGGTTGACAGCCTATCCCAAATAAATATTAGCCACAAACCTATTATTAATTGGCTTGTGAGGGTGAAAAAGGGGAAGGTCCAAGTGAATCAAAATAGCAAACCAGTCCAATCAGAGCAGCAATGGTTTGTGAAGGGCAAAACTCAATGAAGGTTAGACTACAGTAAGGTTACCATTATACTGGCCAGCCAGAAAGTTTCTTAACATGGATATATATAATTGCCTTGACACTGCAGCCTGAGGTGATCAAGGTGGGCTACGGAAGGGGCTATGGGATTTATTTTACTGCTGTATTTTGGACAGACACTTATATAACAACATACTCGACACTATGGAATCTAATAATAAAGCCTGCTCTCTCAGCAAACCTTGCCAGCAGGGCTGTCCTGAGGGACTGAGCCCACACTGAAGGAGTATCACCACTGGAGAGTCTGTATTCCAGCACCAATAAACACAACCATCTGCTCAGTTCTACTATTATTTATTTTTTTAAATATTTTTGAAAAAATATAATTTTTTTACAATATTTTCAACTTAAACACTATTCACACTGAACACGTATGGCAGCTTAACCTACCCAAATAAGAAGTTTAAGAAGCCAAAACTGTTCTAGCTTTGTTAAAAGAAAAGTTGTGCTGCAGACTATTGTAGTGATGGTTAACAAAGCAAGGAAAAGCACCACTCAAATCACAGGTTACAATTTCTTTGTTCAATTGGATTATGGGTTGGTCAAATGTTAGACTTTACACAGGTATAGCTTTGATGCAATGACTCCTTAGAAGAGAATGTAGTTCTCAAATCACATACTTTCTCAGATGTAACATTAGGAGAATTCAATATTTCTTACATGATAACATACCATAAAAGCCAGGACTTTGGTTACTAATGTTACAAGGTAGTGAACCTAAGACATACTTGTTTATAAAAAATTATTTCAAATTAACTAACAAGCCTTCATCAGAAAAAGGAGATTCTTTCTGATGGGGACAAATGCAAATTTAAGTCTGAACTGAGAAATTAACTACTAGAACTTAAATTTACTCATTTAAAAAAATTTAGACATTAACAAGTATTAGTTAACCCTAAGGGACCAGTTTAGTCTCAAAAAGGACAATTCACTAAGATTTAGAGGTCATTTAATTTGGTGCTTTGACACAACTTGACTGGTGCTTCTTTCCTCACTGTCTTCACATCAAGCCATTGGGCCAATTCTATTTTCAGTAAATGTTTGACAGCTTTTTACTTAATAACAGTCTCAGCACTTTTATTAAGCATGCAAGACTAACAAAACTTTGGCAATGCATAAGTGTAACACAGTGACAAGAGAGAGCTTTTACAATTAAGTCTTCTAATACTGCCTTCACAGTGTGGAAATTGTGCTACATCCACCAAAAGAGGGCCCCGTCTACTCAAATATTTTAGTACTTCACCCCAGGAACAAACTCCTTTGCATTTGGATTCAGATTGCTCTTGACCTGGAAAATAAGTACATAAAAAAGCAAGTTCATTAACAGATAAGCTTCAGATACTCAGAAGCATTCAACCAGATCCACATGCAAAAACATCTTCCAAAAATATAAGACAAAGGCAAGAATTCAGATTGTAAGGTCAAACTTAAGTAAAAAAAAAAAAAAATCCACAGCAGGGAAAGGAGGAACCAGATGTAAGCTACGTATATTATACCAAATTTTATCAACTTTCTAAAGAGAAAGTAGAAATTGAAATTAAATTTGCTTAAGTGTAATCAGAAACTCACTAACTTCACATCAACTAAAGGAGTGTCTCAGAACACAGAATTCTGTTCATTTAACTATGATACTTGACTTGCTATTTAAACAGTTTCATACTATGCAAAAATACTAAACAAGTGTTGAAATGATGATAAAAGTGATTGGGGAATGATTTACGGATTAATTTTACTTTATGATGCTCCTTGAAAATATGGAGTTGTCTTTCTACAACTGCTGTATTCTAATTCCCACAAAATATGGAGTTGTCTTTCTACAACTGCTGTATTCTAATTCCCACAGGTAGCATGGCATATAAGAGGAAAAGAAAACTGCATGGCGAGTCAGAAGGCCTAAGTTGGAATCCCAGCTCTGCTAACTAACTTCTTATATAGGCCTGGATAAGTCACTCTCTGGGACTTTATTTTTGCATCAGTTAGGGGAAGACTGGGCCAAAGCCTCTAAGAGCCTGAGAGACTTGTACCACCATTATTTTGTATTTCTAAATCTTTACTTTCCTAAGCAGATGTGTCAGCATATAGGGAATAGCTGGAAATTTTCCTCTACCATATCTCTGAATGCAAGTTGATCAAGAAAGAAAGAAACCAGGATGATTCCAGGGCCTGAAATGGTAGGCATGCTGGCAGGATTTTAGATTGAATCTGAGCCCCCAATATCACTTACTTCAAGACTAAAGCATATTAAACAACATGTTGGAGCAATAATTTAAGTTTCATAATTTATATACAACCATTCCCTTCTCTCAAGGGAAATATATCTAAACTTTAAAGTCTGAGGTTTAAATTTAAAAAGCAGTGTTCTTGAATGTCCAATCTTTTGGCAGCTACAAAAGAATGAGAAGGAATTAACCTCAAATAGACTGAGTCAAACAAACCAGTTTCTAGACAATGGGAAGATACTGGGTCCAGTTAAAGTTATACATTATGCCCAGCAAAGGGCTTCCCTCCGCAGAGCAACCAGGATTATTTGTGGAGTGCCTAATGTAGCCATAAGCAAGCATATCCCAACAGACTATTCAGATCATGTATCTGCTTAATTGGGTTAGTGTCATTTACTGCAACAAAAGCTATACCACAAGTAAATTTCAGTGTTCTCTATACAGCCCTTTAGAAAAATGGTTTCCAAATGCCTGATAGGGCAGGCTGGCAGTATCCTCTGGGAGTGCTTTTAAAAAATTAACATGGCTAGATGACTGATTCTGCAGGTCTGGGATGTTGCTGAGAAAATTTTTGTAATGCTTCATAGGTAATTATGACGTACAGCCAGGTTAGGAAATCACTGCACAGTGAACAGAAGACAACTGCAAAAATTACTTCAGAGTCTAGGGGTAAATTCCAGAGAACCATCTTGTAGAAGCAACTAGACAGATTGTCCATATGGAAAGAAAGTTTAACATTCTGACTTTAAATTATTTTATCTTCATTTTAGCAAAGGAATCATTAGGTTTTACTCTAGTACTGATGCTTAGTTATCAAAATTCGTGAAAAAACTTTTCACTACAAATAAACCATCAGCAATGAGACACTGAGAATAGCTAAAAATATAAAAAGATTTGTGTTCCTTTTCTGCCAAGAGCATGTAAAAGTCCTTATCACAGTTCCAAATGGAGTTAGGGTAACTCAATGAAAATCCTGGGTCAGGAAAAAAAATCTCAAATTTTATCTTTCAGAAAAAATTTGTAATTTCACCAAATATTTAAGACAATTAAAGAGCAAAACCTCTCCATCAAGCTACTTTTGCATAGGCAAGTCACATGAACATCCTGTGTACTCCCTTCTGAATTAATGCTTTAAGACATTTCCTAGGGCAACATAGTTATCATTAACTAAAAGCAGTGGCAAGAAGTCTGTTAGTAGCCTCAGGCTAGCTCCAGAGTGTTGCCAGAAGTCACTCCTTATCATAAGTAAGACCAGGAGGCCTCTGCTTCCATAGTAAGAAGCAGCAGAATTTCTGAAGGGGAAGAGATGTAGAACTCTTCTTAAACAGATGGTTGCTAGCTTTTCCACTTATGGGAGAGATGAGCTAGGTTTTAAAAAGATGAAAAAATA